TAATAAGTCTTTTTGAAGTAAGTTACTTCTTGGAATTCTTTCTTAGGGGAGTCTGCAATAACTGTTCATGTAATTTGCATTTAAGCACAGTTGCTCCTTTGGTAGCATAGTGCCTAAGGCGCTTGCCTGCTAACCAGAAGGCTGGCGGTTCAAACCCACCAGCCACTCTTCAGAAGGAAGGTTGGGCAATCTACTTCCGTAGTGATATTGCCTTGGCAACCCAAGGAGGGGTCGCTATGAGTTGGGCCGACTCGACAGCACATAACAACAACAACAAGCACAGTAGAGAACATTGGAATGTCATAATCGCCTTAAATCTTTTACCCTAAAATAAAAAAGAGTTTGAATATTTTCTATTTGAAATATATAATCTGTATGTATTCTAAACAGATACATACATATTTTATATAAAGCAACACTGTGCTGCTGTTAGTTGCCCTGGGGCCGACTGGGACTCATGGAGATCTCACGTGTGCACAGCGGGACTGCCCCATAGGGTTTCCTTTTGGAAACACATCTCTGTGTCTGTCTTCTGAGATGCCTCTGGGTGGGTTCGAACCAACGATCTTTGGGCTAGTAGTGGAGCACTACTTATAACAAGAGACTCCTAAACTATGAATATATTTAACTATAATTTTAGAAAAATCTGTAAATATCTCTAAATCTTTAAAACAAAATCTCCAGGAATTGGATTCCAGACAACGCACTAACATAAACCTGAAAAGGTAGGCTGAAGCAGGAGCTTTATGCAGATGGGAATGTCGCCAGTGAGCGTTCACAAAGAAAAAAAAAAAAATGCTAGAGGAAGCTGAAGCAAGAAGCTTTTAAGGAATGATCAGAAAATGCTGAATCAGAGGGAATCAGGAAAAAGCAAAAGCATTAAAAAGGAGCATTGCAAAAATCAAGCTCCAAGATGCCCATCCCCAGAACTGTTGCCAGAGGGCTTTCTCAAGCACACAAAACTACTGGAAGACAGCACAAGTTTGCCTGTGAAACAGAAAGAGGTGGGGACCGACAACAGGCTAGAAATGGCAACAGTTAAGCAGGAAGAAAGATCTCCACAATTTGGAGAACTTTTTCTTTTTAAAAGGAGCTCTGGTTGTACAGTGCCTGAAGCATCTGACTTGCTAACCAGAAAGTTTACAGTTCAAACCCACCAGTCACTCCAAGGAAGCAAGACTGGGCAATATACTTCCGTAATTATCTACAGCCTCGGAAGCCCAGTGGGGGTTGCTGTGAGTCGGAATCGACTTGGTGGCCTTAGGTTTGGTTTTGGCTTTCTTTTTAAAAGCTATTACTGGCATGTACTCTAAAAATTGGGAGCACTGGTAGGATAGAGCCTAAGGCACTTGACTGCTAACTAGAAGGCTGGCGGTTCAAACCCACTAGCCACTCCTTAGAAGTAAGGTTGGGCAATCTACTTCTGTAGTGATACTGCCTCAGAAACCCAAGGAGGGGTCGCTATGAGTCGGTCCGACTCAATGGCAAATAACAACAACAACAACTCTAAAACTTATTTAAAACGTAGGTGATTGTATTGCCTTAGGCATATGACTGCTAACCAGGAGGTTGGTGATTCAAACCCACCAGCCACTCCGCAGAAGGAAGACTGGACAATCTACTTCCGTAAAGATTTACCGCCTCGGAAACCCAGAGGGGGTCAACTATGAGTTGGAATTGAATCGATGACAGTGACTTTGGTTTATTTTAAGACAGAGTTGCTTTAATTTTAAAGAGTCTGTGACTGGTTTTTCAGTGTATGATGCCATTTAAAAAAAAAAAAAAAAATCTCTGTGCATAAAAGAAAAAGGGAAGGTTTATATCCAAATGTTAGCAGAGATTACTTCTAGACAGAATTTTCATTCCTTCTGTTTATCTAAATTTCCCATAACAAAACAGACTTCATTTGTAATTTACCAGTTATATAAAAGGAAGAAAATAGACTTAACAAAATATAAATACTAAACAGAAATTCATAAGGATCAAGCAGAAAGCTCATCTGCTTCGGGCAAAGCACACACCGGGCTTTGAGTCTGGATCATAGGACTGAGGCAGTTGGCTCATTGCAAAATTGCAGGGACAGTGTTTCGAGAAACGCATAAACTCCTCTAACCTAAGAAATTGCAAAACTCAACTCAACATCCCGTCTCAGTTCCAGATTAAGAGATTAAAGAGGCTTGACTATGAGTCAGAATCCAGTCCATGGCAGTGGATTTTAAAAAGGCTTGAGGAGCTCCAGTAGTGCAAGCATTCCGTTGCTAACCAAAAGGTCGGCAGTTCGAACCCACCAGCGGTTCCACAGGAGAAAGATGAGGCAGTCTGCATCTGTAAAGATTTATAGACTTCGGCATCCTATGGGGCAGTTCTACTCTTAAGCAAAAAGCTTTTAAGGAAAGATCAGAAAACCCTGAATTGGAGGGAATCAGAGAGGAGAGGGAAATGAGGGAAAAAAAGCATTGCAAAAATCAAGCTCTAATGTGCCCATGGGAGCTCTGGTAGCATAGTGCCTAAGGCACTTGACTGCTACCCAGAAGGCTGGAGGAGGTTCAGCCCCACCATCCATTGCTTAGAAGGAAGATGGGGCAATCTACTTCTGTAGTGATACTGCCTTGGCAACCCAAGGAGGGGTCGCTATGAGTCAGGTCTGACTCGAGGGCACATAACAACAACAACAACAACAATGTGCCCATCCCCAGACCTGTTGCCAGAGGGCTTTCTCATGCATTCAATCATCTGGATGGCTGTGGGTTTGGTTTTGGGAAAGAGGACTGACAAGTAAACACAGTGCATGATCTCCAGTGTGGGGAGAGGGAGGAAACTACCATAAACGACATTTTTCAGGTAACTGACAAAAAACAAATTCTGCCTATATGATAACAGTATTGTGTCAATGTAAAATTTCTTGGATTAGATTGTTGTACTGTGATTACATAACTGATTGTCCGTCTTAGGAAATACAGGTAAAGGGTCAGGATGTCTGCAACTTAATCTCAAAAGCTAGAGGGAGAGAGAGAGGAAGGAAAGGGGGTGGGACACAGAAATTAATAAGGCAACATGTGGCAAAATGTTAACAACCAGTAAATTTTGGTGAAGGGTATAGAGGAACTCTTTGCACTGTTCTTGGACTTCTTATGTTTCAAAATAAAAAGCTAACAGACATAAGCTTTCTGAGGGCCTCTGTCACCCTGGGTCTCCAGCTGACAGACACTAGTGCATCCAGTGTAAACAAACTCCACCTGCAAACTTTCAACTTAAAAATCTTCACCCAAATCACAATAGTAAAATTAATTAATTAATTTTTAAAAAAATTTCAACTCGGGAACTAAGCACAAAATAACCCTAGAAGAAGCTTCACCAGTATCTGCCTCCAGCAGATGGCACTGGAGCAGTGGTTTGCAAGCCTGGCTTTACTGCAGAAATACCTGGAAGCTTCAGAAGAACAAATTAAAGCCTAAAAGTCAACTTGTTGTTGTTGTTGTTGTTGTTTGCCGTCGAGTCGGCCCCGACTCATAGCGACCCCTCCTTGGGTTTCCGAGGCGATATCACTACGGAAGTAGGATTGCCCAACCTTCCTTCCGAGGAGTGGCTGGTGGGTTCGAACCACCTGCCTTCTGGTTAGCAGTCAAGTGCCTTAGCCACTATGCTACCAGAGCTCCCAAAAGTCAACTAAGACCCTTAAATCAGAAATCAGACTCTCAGGAGCCCAATTCATGGCTGATTCTAGCTGCAGCCCGGGTAAAGAACCCCTGCATTAGATGTTATAAAGGTCTCTACTTAGATGGAAAAGGTGGATTGTAAATCCAAGGAGATACCACTGAAAATCTCCTCTACTCACGAACCAGTTACTTACAAAAACAATGACTTGGCATAGTGTCATGTTGGACTTAGGATCAGTCTTTCAGAACATAGATTAAGTAGGCATCTGCTACTCCTTTGAGAGAAGTAGTAGACCTTTTGCTAGCTTCCCACCCAGCTTTGCAGACTCTTGCCACATCTTGGCATTAACATTCCTAGGTAAGAGACAAAGAATCTCTGGAGAAGTGCATCAGTGTCCAGTCTCCTAAGCACCATCTGTATACAGACTGCAAGTAAGGGACAGTGGCCTGGGCTGGGTGAGGCAGAAAGTTACTCTGTTGGGCATGAACAGCCAGTCTGTTTTTTCGGCCACCAGCAGAGGGCGCTGCATACCCAGCCAATGGCCACAGTCACATCTAAGGGCTAGGATGTGGAAACAGGTGGAAATGTTGAATCACCAAATCAGTTGACTGAGGCTATGGAGATTGGATCACACCTCTATCATTTCATGATCTGATTACTTTTCTGCAGTTCCTCCTGGACTGTAAGCTCTGACTGGGTTTTTACTGTCTGTCTGCAGAGTCTTGCACAGTGCCTAGACACACAGTAAGCACCTGGCAAATGACGGTTGCTGCTGTTTTGGGCCATCAACAAATGAGCAGTCACTAAAACTGGCCAGGTGTTAGCATTTACTGGGACGGTGGAGAGGCTGAGATGCTCTTCCTCCTTTCCTTAGGTCCTCAGGTATTCAGCATCCCAGGCAAATGAGATAGGTTGTTTTGTTTTCCAGAATGCCCTTCCTTCATGGCGACTTCTACAAATTAAAACCAAAACCAGTTGCCATGGAGTTGATTCTGACCCTGTGATCTCATGTGTATCAGAGTAGAATTGTGCTCCATAGGGTTCAATGGAGCTGGTTTCAATGGCTGATTTTTTGGGAACAGACTGCCAGACCTTTCTTCTGAGGTGTCTCTTGATGGACTTGAACAGTTAGCAGCTGAGTGTGTTAATGCTTTCACTACTCAGGGACTACAAATGAGGTCCAGAGAAATCCATCTCCTATCTGCTCCCCCCCATCCCCACAACCTCCTCTCCAATCCACAAAACATCTGTGTGTGTGTGTCTTCCCTTTAGCAGGGCCTCAGAACCCTTGCCACTCCCAACCAGGAGTCTCTAGGTCAAGACAACTGGGTAAACAGACTCACACTCCAGCTGGCACAAGTGGCTGGAACTTCCACTGCTCCTCCTCACAGTCCAGGAAAAGCCGGTTCATGATCTTGTTCTTCTCTTCAGGGGGAATGAAGTTCTCAATGATTAGGTACCTGGAAGTAGGAATGAGGCAAGGATGGGAAATTGGGAGTGAGAGATGACATGGTATATGTGAAGGTGAAGAACTAGAAGCAACAAGGAGAGGGAATGGAGGAGGTGGGAAGGCCAAAGGGGATGAGGCATCCCCAAAGAAATAATGAAGCTTGAAAATCACTGCTTCTAATGCAAAGATTAATACAGGGCCTTAGGGGTTAATTTTGGCCAGCACCCAGTATGCACTGGTGCGGGGGGCATTCATCAAAAACAGGCACAGGATCAGAAAGGACAGGAGGTAGAAAACTCCAGACCTGGGGTCTCATCCCTCAGACATGTTTTTATTCCTAAGACATATGGACCCTTAGGTGAGTAGAGAATTCGAATGAGGCCTTCAGGAAGGAGAGGAGTCTGTCAGGGAGAAGGCCTGGGGAATGAGGGATGGCTGTGAGGGTCCTCAACAGGAAGAGTAGGGGTGGAGGCATACTTGAGTTTGAGTTCCCGGGTCTGCTCATTCTGCGCCTCCTCCAGGTCCTGCCGCACACGGATGTACTCATCATGCTGGTCCTGGATTTCCGCCTTCACCGCCTGCAGCTTGGCGTAGAGCTGAGTGGAGACAAGTGAGGCTTAGAGGCTGCCCAGTAAGGCCATGAGGCCCTGTCACCCAGTGTGGGTCCCATGGCTGCAGGCTCAGCCCAGGAAGAGGCCTGGGGCTAAGTCTGAACCTCCCTCCTGTGCCCCAGGCAGGGCTATTCCAAGGGTTCCAGGCAGTTCCCACCCCTCTAACACAAAGGCCTGTGGCTGTTAACCTATTCTCTCCTAGCTGCTGTCACCGTTGTCATGGAATCCTGTAATGTTGGGACTGGGAGGAACCTGAGGGACTTTTTGGTGCAACATGCTTTTTTTATAGATGAGGAAACTTAAGCCCAGACTTGCTCTAAGTCATACAACTAGTTAATAGCAGAGCCAGGACTAGGACCCAACTATCAGGATTGCTGGTCAAAGGCTCATTCAGAGATCCAGGGCTCAGGGAGTCCCAGGATGGGGCTGGAAGATGACCCATCCCATTCCTCTCAAAAGTGGAGTATGGAGGGCAGCACTGAGGCTTCCTGTTTCACTCCAGATCCACTGAGAGGCATGTTCATGGTAACTGCCATCACAGCTGGGCCTCAGCCTGGCCTGCTCCAGGCCAACCACGTGACCAACACTAAGGCTCTCCAGGTTCTGCCCAGAACCCAGATGGGAACTGCTGCTTCCTGTCCTACACCTTCATCTCATGTCTGGACATGTCTTTCCCCTGCTGAGGACTTTCCAGGATACCAGTGATCAGCTGTCCCCATCCATTGACATGTCCTCAAGGGTCTTTGTGCTCCCTTCCTGAACATCCCCAGGTTTGAGTCTTCTTCTCAGCCCACCACTCCCCTGGCCCTGCTCCAGCCATCCAAGCTGTGACTCACTGCTGACACTGTAAAGGGGAAATTTCTCAGGACTATGAGGATGGCAACCGTGGAGACTGGAAGTGACAAGCATTCCCAGCCTATCAGGCCCAGCCCTGCCCAGAAGAAAAGGCTTTGTCCCCCAATACCAAGGCCCTACCCTTCCCACTTCCACCTCTACTCTTCACCCCAACAATTCAGATAATGTAGCTCAGGGGTTAGCAGTTCAGGGAAAGTGGGGAGGGGTCCCTGAAGCACACACTTTCAGGAGGCTGACTGGCCAGAGGCTGCTGGGCTATTAGCACACCTTGGCACTAACCTGCTGAGGTAACTCACCTTCTTGAGTTTCTTGGTTTTGACCTCCACCTCCTGCTGCAAGGACGTGTAGGTGCCCCGGAGCTCCATGGTCTCCTCATCTCGGAGCATCATCTCCTGCTGCATTTCCCGCTCACGGCGTTTCTAGGCCAAGGCGGGGCACAGGGCCTTAGTAGGGCAGCACATACTGGGGGCGAACCAAGGGAGCTTGGGGGGGCTGGCTCACTCTGCCTGTCATAGGACCTAGCTTCATTATAGCCACAGCGCCAGGAGGGGGATGAGGGTTTCTGATGGTCTGTACCCACTGCTCACATCCATTCCTAGGTGGAAATTCTGTGAATCCTGCCTCCTCTCAGCCTTTTCCTTTGCCAAGCACTGCTCCATGTGGATGGAGGCCCAACCTTCATAGGTGGCGTACCTCAGAGATGTCAGCCACACATATAGCTGTCCACAAACTGCTACAACCTCTCCTCACCTGTGTCGTGGTGGACTACTAAAACCAGTAAGTTGTGGTTCTTGATGATTTAGGAAATAGTCATACTATTGGCAAGAACTCACACCCTTGTGGAAGGTCCAGGTATCAATCCCAGACACCTTATGGAAGCTAACATTATGGAAAGCCGTCACTTCCTCTCCCTACCAGCCTGCAGTGCCCTGCCAGAGACAGACCCTGGGTGAGGTGGGCCATGGGATCCAGGGGGGCATGTCTTAGGTTCAGCTCTGTAGCCCCAGGGATTCTGAATCCATGAGGCCTTCCTCCCTTTGCCCCAAGGGGACCTGAAGCCTTACAGCCTCACCTGCTCGGCAATCTCCTGTCTCTTCAGTTCCAGCATCTTCTGCTGCTCGTTGGTGTGATCCATGATGTTCCTGCCCCCGATGAGCAGCTTGCTCTCCATGGCCTGGGGACACAGAGCGGGAAAGAGATGGGATCTTCAAAGCATCCCCAGCTTGAGAAGTTTTGCCTCTCTGCTCTGTGGTGCTTCCAGGAGCGGACACAAGATGTGTCCCAGATGGTTTCCTCATAGCCCTCAATGAGAATGGATTTTTTTCCTCTAGCCTCTTGAGCCCCATACAAGGCTCCTATTGTCACCAGGACCATTAAGTGTGGTGGACAGAAGGAACCCCTCAGGGAATATAGGGCACCTGATCTGCTTGCTTGAGATACAGAAGGAAGGTTGGTTCGCCACGCTGGGGCACAAGCAGCAATCTAATCCTGGCAACCAGGACCAGCTGGTGTCCAGGGCGGGCACAGAGAAGATACAGTCACTGGGTAGCCCAGCCTTTAGCTGACTAGCTCCTGACTCAGGAAGAGGGCCCTCAGCACAGGCAGCAAATAAGGGCCTCATCTTTACATGGCTTGGAAAGCAGGTGAGTCAGAAAGAAAAAGACTCTGCGGCAACAGTAGGTAACATGTGGAAGCAGCATGAGCTTTGAAGATGGCCAGAATGGCGTGGGTTCTGCTCACTGAGGCTTCAGGCACTGAACTCAGAACTGAACTCCCTTCAGTTCTCACATCTGTCTGTAATGTTGAACCATTCCACCTATATTTCAGGATGGCTAGCAAACATAGGCTGAGCTCCTTTTGCCAGGTGCTATAGTAAGCCCTTAACTCATTATCTCCATCCTCACCCTGTTGTTGTTGTTATGTGCCGTCAAATCAGACCTGTTTCATAGTGACCTCTCCTTGGGTTTCCAAGGCAGTATCACTATGGAAGTAGATTTCCCAACCTTCCTTCCGAGGAGTGGCTGGTGGGTTTGAACCGCCAGCCTTCTGTTTAGCAGTCAAGTGCCTTAGGCACTATGCTACCAGAGCTCCCCATCCTCACCCTAGGAGGGAGGTACTACTACTCTCCCCATTTAACAAATGAAAAAAACCGAGAGTAACTAGCCTAAGAGTGTGCAGCTAGGAAGCCAAGAAGAGGTGAAGTTTGAACCTACCCTCCCGCAGTCTCATTCCTGGAAGCCCCTAGCCCAAAGCTTAGTACAGACATTCAGTAGGTGCTTCTTGAATTGGAAGCTTAAATAATATTGGAATTGTATAAACTGTGACTATCTAAGATGCAGGGAGCTCTGGTAGCATAGTGCCTAAGGCATTTGACTGCTAAACAGAAGGCTGGCGGTTCAAACCCACCACCCACTCCTCAGAAGGCAGGATGGGCAATCTACTTCTGTAGTGATACCGCCTCGGAAACCCAAGGAGGGGTCACTATGAGTCGGGTCCGACTCCACAGCAGTGAATTTGTTTTCGGTTTTATATAAGATGCATTTTCACTAGTGATAAGAGGGTGTCAGACAGTGGTGGTTCAGTGGTAGAGTTCTTGCCTTCCGTGTGGGAGACCCAAGTTCAATTCCTGGCCAATGCACCTCAGGTACAGCTGTTACTTGTCTGACAGTGGGGGCTTGTGTGTGGCTGTGATGCTGGACAGGTTTCAGCAGAGCTTCTAGACACAGACAGACTACAAAGAAAGGCCAGGCAATCTACTTCCAGAACCAGCCAATGAAAACCTTATGGATCACAACGGTCTGATCCACAACTGATCAACGGATGCAGAGGACCAGGCAGCATTTCGTTCCCTTGTGCATAGGGTTGCCATGAGTCAACAGCTGACTCCACCACAGCCAACAACAAAAACAAGAAGCTGCTGCCCCACCCCAGCTGTCCTCTGATTTCATCACAGGCTTCCCTGAAGGTTGAAATCACCTTGAGTCGCCAGAAGAAATTGGCTGCCTCCCCAGTGGAATTTTTCCCAATGAAAACAGCTGATCTGCCTGAGGGATCTCAAAGCAAGGGGTGCTGTCAGACTGGAGGAGCAGGGAACCCCTCTGCCACCTGTCCTGTCATTGAGGACAAATAGGCCAGGGGTTAAGGGTCAGTTTTTGGAGGCTGGAGCATGTGAAGGTGCCAGATGACACTGAGCAAAGCTGGGCCAGTCAGAGGCATGCAACAAGCCTCATGCCAGCCCCATTCGGTCTCCAGCCAAGGAGAGCTGTGCTGCAGACCATGGTTTCCCCCTGCCTCAATATCCCCCTTCCGTCCTTCTCCACATCACACCCAGGCAGATCTACCAAAAACACAAGTCTGCTGCTTCAAACCACTTAAGGGGTTTCCATTCCTTGCACTTAGATAAAGCCCAAAGTCTGTAGCAGGACAGCAAGCCCCTGGGCTGGCCTACCCTCCCAGGCTCCTCTCACGTCCCTTGTGCTCTGCAATCTAGCTTTTTCAAAAGAATTCCAGCACCCTGAATGTGCCGTGTTATTTCATAAGTCTGGGCTTCTCCTCCCACTGCCCCATCCAGCCGGAAAACAGCTACTTATCCTGCAAGACATAGCTCCAGCATCTTTGGAATATGTCCCTACTTTCCTTAAAGCTGAATATGACTTCCTTTGGGCTTCCTCTATAAACAGGATACATTTCTACTATTTTCACATAATATGATCATTATTTGCCTTAAGAGCACCTTCAGGACAAGAGTCATGGCTTGTCACTATCTCAGTGTTCCAGGGCTTAGCACACTGTTTGGCACATAATAAGTGTTTGATGAACTGAACTGAATCCTTGGTGGGAGAAAGTGGTCCTAAAGGGTGAGTTCAGGTCCTTTCTCTGGCTCTCTCATCCAGAATGGGCTCTTTATCCCAGCTTTCCCTCCTTCAATAGATCAACTCACATTCACTGCCCAGGGCAAAAGGGGTGGTGAAGTTGGGTCTGAGAAGCAGAGGAAACCTGATGGGAGGGTGTGAGGTGGGCACGAAGAGTGAAGGACAAGAGAAAAGAGAGAAAGCATGACTCTTTCCTGTATGCAGAGGAAGCCCCCTCCTGTGGTGGCGCAGAGATAACTGATCCCATTAACTGCTGTATAATGGAGTATTAGAGGGACTTGGGATCTGGCCTGATCTCCCACTCTGGCACAATACTTGTCCACTTCAGCCCTGAGTCCTTGCCCTTCCCTCAGCATTTCATGTTGTGAAACCCCCTCCCCTCCAGGTAATTATTCTTTAACTAGGAGCCATTAGTGCCGGGAACTCCAGCACATCCCCCATGCCTCAGGGCTTTACCTCACAGATCCCTAAAACCCCCTCCCCTCCTTTTCTACCCCCTAGCAACAACCAATCAAAGGAGAGAGGGACCTCTTTGCTTTTGTGTTACTCCACCCTGTATTTTTTTCCTATAAAATTGTAATTGTAGTAGAGCATGGGGTCTTTTGCCCAAACCGCTACGTCGGTGTAAGCGGAGACCCTAGCTCGAGCTAGCCAATAAACTTTCCTTTTGCTTTTGCATTATCGTGTCTGTGGTAGCTTCCTTGCGCCGACACTCCTTTCGAGACCTGGGACCAACAATATGAGTCTAGTCTTCTTCACTCTTCACCATCTGCTGTGGATTAACTTGCATCCTCCAAAAAGATCTGTCGAAATCCTAATCCTTGGTACCTGTGAACATGACCTTGTTTAGAAATAGGGTCTTTGAAGATGTTATCAGATGACTTACCATAAGGTCATACTACATCTTGGACAAAGGGTTTAAGTCCATCATGTGGGAAAGAGACAGTCTCTTTAATAAAGGATGCTGGCAAAACTGGATATTCATTTGCAGAAAAATGAAACATGATCTATACCTCATACCATACATAAAAACTCAAATGGATCAAAGACCTAAATATAAAACCTAAAACTAGAAAGTTTGTCAAAGAAAACATAGGGACAAACCTAACCAAGCCAGACTCACTGCCATCGAGTCAATCCCGACTCATGGCGACCCCTCCTTGGGTTACCGAGGCAGTATCACTATGGAAGTAGATTGCCCAACCTTCCTTCCAAGGAGTGGCTGGTGGGTTTGAACCACCAACCTTCTGATTAGTAGTCATATGCCTCAGGCACTGTGCTACCAGGCCCCCTGGGACAAACCTAGGGGCCCTAATTTATGGCATAAATAGACTGTCAAACATAATGAGAAATGCACAAACAGCAGAATGTAAATTAGATAACTGGGCCCTCTTAAAAATTAAGCACACTCATCAAAAGACTTCACCAAAAGAATAAAAATAATAATAAAAAAAAATTGGCAACAACATATCTGACAAGGATCTAATCTCTCAAAGTTATAGAAAATTTCCAACACTTGAACAACAAAAAGACAAATAATCCAATTGAGAAATGGTCAAAGAACATGAACAGACATTTCTTAAAGAGGACACTCAGGCAGCTAGAACAAACACAAAAAGACACTTATGATCATTAGCCATTACCAAACCCCTGCTACCGAGTTGATTCTAACTCATAGTGACCCTATTATAGGACAAAGTAGAACTGCCCCATAGTTTTCAAGGCTGTAAATCTTGACAGGAGCAGACTGCCTCAACTTGTAGAGCAGCTAGCAGGTTCAAGCTGCTGACCTTCTGGTTAGCAGCAGAATGCTTTAACCACCATACAACCAGAACTCCGTTCATTAGCCATTAGATACAAATTGAACTACAATGAGATACTATCTCATCTTTGCAAAAAATGGCAATGGTCAGAAAAACAGAACAAATTGCTAAAAAGGTTATGGGAGGATTGGAACTCTTACATATAGCTGGTGTGATTGTAAAATGGTACAACCACTATGGAAAAACAGTATGATGCCTCCTCAAAAAACTAGTAGAAATACCATATGATCCAGCAATCCCACTCTTTGGTATATATGCTAGAGAAATAATAGCTGTGATACAAATAGACATTGCCACCCATGTTCATCACAGCATTATTCATAATAGCAAAAAGATGGAAATAACCGAAATGGATAAACAAACTGTAGTAATACACATGTGATAGTTAAGGTTGTGTGTCAACTTGGCTGGGGCTGGTTGAGTGGCTGGGCAGCTGGATGTAGTTATTCCCCATGAGGAGACTGATAATCAGCTCCATG